CTCTAATTTCTTTATCATAACTTGTGCATTCAGACCAATGAAAGATGAACTGCAGAGTGTCATGTAGAAAGGGAACTTTTTGATATGACATGAAAAGATATTCCATTTTGTTGAAGCCGTTCCTGGAGATCAGTTGCACCAAATACAATCCCAGGAGTGTAAACTCCTCCCTTTGGTAGATTCTCTCTTTGGCTGTGAAGAATAAGAGCACACTGAATCAGAATTATAGGAGTGCTCACATATCCCATTTCAGGTCCCATTACTCTTGTAATAATTTCCATGTCAGGTTTCTTCTTTCCCTCTGCTGCAAGCCTCTCATTGCTGAAACCATCTCCAATAAACCACATCTTAAATGAAGCACTCGCAATCTCTTCTTCAGAAGGTCCATTCTTGCTGAACCCTCCAAAGGTGAAGATGGAAGGATATTTCAACAGAAGCCATCTTCCAAAAGAGAATCTTCCCAAAACACCAATCAGCATTCCGATCATAATAAATCCAAACATGTGCAGCAAAGATTTTGAGCCCAGTTTCACTCCAAAATGAGCCGGCTTCACAGATGACCAGAAGGCTTTCCTTTTCTCAACCATCTCTTCACTTTCATTCATCCCAGGTAGTCCATCAGGGGATTCTGTTAGAGTTGAAAGAGTTCTTCCAACAAGAGTTGCATCTGCTGATGGTAGTGTTACACCCCACATGCCTATTTTCTTCTGGTGTTCTATTATTTCTCCCTTGGGTGGGGGCCCAGGAATCTGCAACCATGCATGGGTAAGAAAAGTTGGCAAATAACACATGATAAAAATGGACAATTAGTTTTAAGATTATAAACGCAATTTGAAGGGTATATATCCTAGAATATATACTCTAGCATTAGTGTTCTCTGTCAAAAACAATACAAAGTTCCATGAACATGATCACATTAAGTTAATCACAATTTTAGATGATGATGGATAATTGATTTTTTTAAAAGAAATGAAAATCAACAACCAGTACAAGTAACTCAATGATCATAATAATATGATGCCCAGTCGAAGAGATTGTGTGTAGTGTGAGGAATGAAGATCAGATATCTCAAGCATCTTGAGGGTTCTCAAAAACTGTTATATATTGCAGGTTGCAGGCAAACATTGTCGTTTGAGTTCTGTGAACTCTGTTTACTGTATCTTGAGCTCTATGAAGGGTAGAAATTAAAAACCAAAAAACATTCCAATCATATCAAAATTCATGAGTAGGTGATATGAATTAGTGAGTTTAATAATTGTCAGTGTAAGAGTTTTTTACACTGTCAAGCAAGGGTGACTCTTACAATATGAGCTAGCTTTTGAGATTGATTTAATGGTTTGTTTAGACAAGTTTCTCCACAAGCACTTGCTTGAGAGAGAAATAAGAAGAAAAAAATGAGATGAGTTTCTCCATCAGCTAAAATTATATTACACAAGTTAAAAATACGAAAATAGAAACTTATAGAAGAGATCTTTTACATATTAGCATAAGCATAACCTGATTTTAACTTTTTGGAGAAATTAATTTTACTTTTTCTCCCAAAAGGTGCTTATGAAAAAATTTGTCCAACAGACAAAAATTCTAGAACTCAACAAACATGTATGATTGTTAGTGGCAGAGATAACATTATGAGTTGTTCATTCTTTTAAATTCTCAGCAGCTATATTCCTAATATAAAACCCAACAAACAAGAATGAAGAACACAAAATCGAATTAAATTCAAGTGAACCTCAACTCTCTCTTCAAGATTGTGTCATCATGGTATCATAACATTGAAGAACTCAACTTCTAAGACTCAACAAAACTTGTCACATAATACATATGAAAACTTGTGATTGGAAGACAGTGTAAAAGGGAGATCTCTACATGAATGATTTCTCCTTTGCTAGTTCATTTCTCCCTCTTTCTCCTCCACCATGGAATTCAATTCTTCTGCAGGTATGATTTCCACTGATCAAATCTCAGATGCTAAACCTAATCTAATTATCTATTGCTACTCAGAATCCCAACAAACAATAAAGAAGAATGCACAAGAAATTGAATTAAATTCAAGTGAAATAAACCACTCCAATCAAAATTTGTGCTTATCATTACTATCACATCATATCATATCATACCTTAGGTTTTACTCTGATGACTCTACGCTGTTCAATCTCCTTCAAATCCTTGACAGCCATAACCGCAGACTCAAACGTTCCAAAATTCCCCACAATCCTCCTCTCCGACTCCAAGCCAAGATACGCCTCCACCCTGTTGGGCCGGGCCGGGCCCACCCACTGCCTCGAGTGGAACAAAAACCCCATCTCCGCCGGCACCGAGTCAAACCCACAAGCCGAAACCACCAAAGCTCCGTTCTTTACAGCCTGCACATGGTGTTCACGCTCCATGCGCTCCATGAACTCGGTCTCGCCGGTGATGTCGAGGTAGTCGCAGCCGGCGGCTACACACGCGGCGACAACGGGCGCCCCGTGGCGGCGGAAGGGGCCGACGCAGTTGAGGAGGATGCGCGCGCGGTCGCATAGCGCCCGGAGGGAGGCGGCGTCGGCGGTGTCGGCGGCAAGGATGGGGATGGAAGGTGGCGGATTGGGCCTGGCAGCCCAGTTGAGAGTTTGGGCCAATTTGGAGGTGTCGCGGCCCGCTATGGCGATGGAGTTGAAATTGGTGAGGAATTTTAGGGCTTCTCTAAGAACATGCTTGCCGGTGAAACCAGAGGCTCCGAGGATTACAATGTCGAACTTTGAGGTTGGTGCTGACACTGCCATGTCTTTTTCTTTCTCACTTTTCACTTCTTCACATGAACACATGAACAACAAAAACACACTTCATGGAGTTCCTTTGATTTTTGCAAGAGAATTGTTAATGGTTGAAAGCTCAAATCTTGGATATCATGATGTAAGTGATTCTTTTGGGTATGAATTAAAGTATAATTTTTAAGATTGGGTTTTGTTTCTTTAATTGACCTGTTTTGTACCTGATTGAATACGAAAATGATTAATTAGAACGCATAAATTATGTGATTTTCATTTCAACTCTCAACTACCATAAAATCTGTCACAAATCAGTTTCCAAGACTCAAACTTTCACTGGCATTCTTTTTCTTTTCAAGTTGTACGGTTAATAATCTTAATTTACAAAAATCAATAAGATAATTTTGTTTAATATTTAATCTGATTCTAAAAGATAAAAAAAGTAATCATCAATTGATAATAAGAACTAAGAGTGTAATATCACTTATTACAATTACAAAAAAAAACACACAGATATATATAATAAAAATATGGTTTAATCCTTTTCGACATCACGATGGCTCCTCGTTTTCTAAAGTGTATCAAAATGGTCCTTAATTTTGAAAATTAATATCAATTGAGTCCTTTTCGTTAAGTTGGCTGGACGGCGTTAAAAAAATTGATGAGTGGATGCTGAGATGACGAAGGAACGCTCGTCCAGCCAACTTAACGGAAATGACTCAATTGATATCAATTTTCAAAAACGAGGACCCAATTGAGACATTCGTACATAAATAGGGATGTCGAAAAGGATTAAACCTAAAAATATCTATCTCTTAATCACTCTTCACTTATCATAATATAATTAAACTTTGACCTGAAATATTATCTATGTATAATATTACAATTAAAAATGACAGACAATAAAATATGGAATGTTAAAAGTAAAAGATATACATTTCTAAAGTTCAATATTCATGATTACATATTTTCACGTTCATTAGTTAATTAATATCATTTAATCAAAACATTAATAATAATTGACATTAGCTCTATTTTATAAGAAAATTAAACTCACATTTTACACTTCTCATATAATCTTTCGGTCCAAAGAGTTACATCCCAAAAATTAAATATTCTGGATAAATTTCTTACAACATGATGTAATTTTTTACCTTAGATTATGGTTAATCATTTGCTCTATCGAACTATGCATTCGCAAATTTTTATTTCAAAATCTTAAAATACTAATTTTCACACACTAACTTTGTCCTTCTCGCTCAACAAGCACGTATGCTTACCTTGTGAGACAACACTCAAAGCTTTTAAATATCAAGGCTCACTCACTTGAGCATCCTTATTTACTTAGCGAGACAGTCATGGAGATACAATTTACTCAATCAACAAAAAATCTCTTCTTAGTTCTCTAGATTTTAATTGAAAGAATTTCGTTCAATAAGGAGATTGACTCATTGATACATTGTCATTGATGTTATTAAATTAATAGTACTTTATAAGGCAACCTCAGTATTGTCAACTTAATAGTTAATAAACTAGATAGGGTTAAAGTAATTCTGAGTCGAAATTGTTTTTCAATACTTAACTTTTATGAAAGACTGGAAAGGTTAATAAAACACAATGCAATGCTTAAGATAAAAGTAAAAATTTATCCTAATAAAACTAATATTGAAGATTGACGTGAATTTCAATGAAGAACAACAAATGAAAGACTTTGAAACACTTATATTAAAATAGGCTAATTTCACTACTTTTCAAATATAGATTCATCATCCGTTATCCACAAATTATTGTTCAATTGATTATTGTTTTATATTTTTAAATTAATTAAAGTACATTCTTAATTAATTTGGGGAAGATCTTACATTTAACCAAAGTAAATTCTCAATCAAAACCAAGATCTTTATAGATTATTCACAATAAATTCAACCAAAGTACATTCTCACATAAATTCTATTATGTTTAATCATATTCATTCTCTTATATCTTAATCAAGTTAAAAGTTAATTAATCAAAGTATATTTTTGACTAATTATTATTAAATTTTTATCTATTAATCAAAGTACATTCTCAATTGGTAGAAAAAATTCATTTAATCATATGGAAGTTCTTAAATTCAATCAAAGTACATTCTCAATCAAAATTAGAAACTCTTATACTCATATGATCAATATGCATGAAGATTGAAACACCTTATGATGTAAAAATCATTACCTTCGACGTGATTGAGAGATAAAAGACATAAAACAAAGACAATCCAAATCAATAATAAAAATAAACAAAAACATTATTTCAACCTAACCTCAAAATCCAATGAAATTACAGGAATAACCTTAGAATTCTAGTTCTCCATGAATGGAGTGAAATACATGATGAAAATAAAAGTGAGAGGAGTGGTGAAGGCTTCCAAGTTGAGGAGTTGTTGAGTGTTCCTTCTACTTTCACTTAGTTTCTTTATATAGAACTTGACTGGCCTTGGACTATGATTTTTCTATTGTTGTAATCTTCTTTATGATAAAATAATCTCCTTCAATTATCTTCTAAATAATTCAATATCTTCAAGATATATTTGATTGTTGTGCATATCTAAAAATATTTGAGAAGATATTTGCTAGATTAAAAAAGATTCGGCAAATATTATCTTTTGATATTTGTTTTGGTGCGGGGTCTAGGATCACAATACACTACATGTCACACTCAGGTCCAAAACTGTCTCCAAAATCCAAGTTATGTTGTTCTTCACTCTCCTCACTGTTTGTCCAAGTCGTGTGGGGTGGAAACGTTGATTGTCCGATTAGCTAATGATCTGGACGGTCATACAATACGCAGGTCGGTCATACAATACATATGTCCCCCAAGCCCGTGCCAAAAGTAACTGACAAATTAGTTTATGGAATGGTTGGCTCTAGAACGCTTGATCCAATGTTCGTTCTTGATCGTTGGCGCGAAATGCTTCATTTCCCGCACTTGTTAGAAGACGTATGGTCGCGTGGTCTGAGCCATGAGATCTTGTCTGATCTGATGGTAGGTATTGCTCGAGCGAAGAAGGGTGGTTGCGTATAAATAAGGGGGAGCCTTCCCCGTCATTTTCACCATTCGATTCCACGATTTTTTTACCGAACGATATTCTTCTTCTCCAGCTAATAATGTCAATTGTTAACTTGTCTTCGTTTGAGAAATCTTTGGGAAGGGTCAAACGGGGCTACGATGATGATGGTGCCTTGTCTTTGAAAGCATCGAGATCTATCTCCTCTTCCATCTTTGAGTCAACCGAGCGGGATGAGGGTCTGTTTGACCGTGCGACTAGTGTAAATGAAAATAAGGTTGCTTGATCTGGAATGACAAGTTTCGTTTTTGATGGTGTGGAGATCGATGCCACCAACGAGGGTGTGGAACTCCAAGGAGTCCTTCTTGTCATTCCTGGTTATAAGTGGGCGTCTTACGATGTGGGGGAGTTCGTGACATGCTTTTGAATGAAGACTCAGTTGGAGTTGCAAACTTCTAAGGGTGGATCTCTTGTTAAATTGATGGTGTGTAAGAGGAATGAGAAAGTGTTTCATGGGAAGGGAAACAACTATGATGACTTCTTTTTCATGTATGTCTTCCCATTCAACAAGACTTACATTCGACTCCCCTTGGACGACTTTTTTATGAGTGTGTTGAGGGAGTTGAACGTGACACCATCACAACTTCATCTAAACGATTTGACATACATGCTAGAGTTCATAGTGCTGTGTGCCACCCTTGATCTCACACCCACTCCAACACCTTCCTCCACTATTTCCGCACACGCCCAGATACAAAGCAGGGTGGATTTCATTGATACCAAAGCAGGGGGAAATTATGTTCGAACTTTTCTCTCTCTCGTACAAAGGGCTTTAAAATAAGTTTTTTAAGGTTGTAAGGACCTAAAATCTTGCACGATTGACGTCGTAACACAAGACTTGGATGACGTCAGTCGAGTTGGACTCAATTAGCGTGATTGATGATCTCGCAATCCAAAGAAGAACTTCAAGGAAGTGACCGAACAATGTGCCTCAGACTCCCACTTCAAGTATAAACTCGTCTCTTGATATGAGTGACAAAGTTTATATAATTGAATATAAAAATATGAAAAAGGATGAAAAATGATAATGATAATAAATTTTTATGATAAAAAAGAACATAAAATAGTCAAACTTCCATTCACCCGTTAACTTGTCATTCCTCCGTCAAAATCGACAAATATAATGGAAATACAATCACTATGCCAAGTGGTTAGATGTTTAAGTTCACCAATCCAAGTCACTTTTGCTAAATTTGGACTATATGCGAGTTTAAGTGCCGACTAATTTATCACACCTTACAATTCACAATAACTTTTTATTGTTATATAGTAGTGTGTCGAATGTCATTATGTATAAGCCCAAATTTAAATTTTATTTCATATACTATTCTTCCTTATTTAAATGTAATAAATATTAAATCATTAATCTCAGTTTTTTTAACTAATATATTTACAATAAAATCTTATATTTATAAAATACTCAAATTTAGAATTGAAAGATTACTATTTTTTTAAGTATTATGCATGTTAATCCCACCACCAACCCATTCTAAACAAGCAAAATTAAAAATGGATAGGTCACATCGGTAGTCAAATAAGAAAATTAGGAAGCCATGCCTTAACCACCACTACCTACACAAACATACTTTATATATACCTAATGGAAAACTTTACTTCACTCTTCCACTCCTCAATACCAATTTCATTAATAAAGTTGACCAAAGTTTCATCTATCATTATGAATAATTTATAGATTATGCCTAATCATATTGACAAAAATAAAAGCAGTTAATTTTGACTCGTTCTGTTTAGCTCAAACTTAAAATAAATTTACTTTGAATTCACCCAATAATTCCAATGTAAAATGTAAAAACTAATATATATATGTATATATATTAAAAAAATGTATATTAAATTATTAGTTTTATTTTAAATTGGCTATCTATTTTTTTTTAATCGGGCATCTATAGGTTTTATAAAGGTACTACTAAATTTCTGATAATTTAAAATAGAGTAATGATGCTCTCCCCTTCTACATTTATTTTATAACATTTATAAAAAAAAGTAAAATAATTGTAAAAAAGAAATAACTTTTGTATCGGTAAAGAAAAAGAAAAAGTAAAAGATAATAAAAAATAGTTTTAAGTAATGTAAGAGAAT